GGTGAAATGAACAAATTTCTAGAAAAATATAATCTTCCAAAGCTGAGTCAGCAAGAAGCAGAAAGCGTGAATAACCGATAACAGCTAGTGAAATTGAAGCAGGAATCAAAAAGCTCCCAGCCCACAAAAGCCCTAGACCAGATGGCTTCATAAGAGAATTTTACAAAATATTTAGGGAGCGCTAACCCCGATTCTTCTGTAACTACTCTAAAAAATTCAAGAAGAAGGAAGACTCTCAAACTCTTTTTATGAAACTAGCCCAAAACTAGATAAAGACACAACAAAAAAAAAAAAAAAAAGAAAACTTCAGGCCAATATCACTAATGAACACAGACGCTAAAATCCTCAACAAAATATTGGCAAACTACATCCAGCAACACTAATAAAGGTCATACACCATGATCAAGTGGGATTCATCCCAGGGATGCAAGGATGGTACAATATTCGCAAATCAATAAATGTAATACATTACATAAACAAAAGACAAAAATCACATGATCATATCAATAGCTGCAGAAAAAGCATTTGATAAGTTACAGCACCTGCTTATGATAAAAACACTCAGCAAAGTGGGGATAGAGGGACCCTAACTCAACATAATAAAGGCCATATACAAGAAACCTACAGCCAACATCATACTCAACAGGCACAAACTAAAAGCTTTCCCCCTAAGATCAGGAACAAGACAAAGGTGTCTGCTCTCACCACTTCTATTTAACACAGTACTGTAAGTTCTAGCCACAGGGATCAGACAAGAAAAAGAAGTAAAAGGCATTCATGCTGCAAAACAGGAAATAAAACTGCCACTGTTTGCTGATGACATGATAGTGTGCACAGAAAACCCTATCGACTCCACCAAAATGTACTCAATTAATTAGTGTATTGGCGAAACAGTAGGATACAAAGTCAATACTCAGAAATTGAAGGTATTTTCATATATATACTAACAATAAAATATCAAAAACAAATTAGGAAAAAAAATCCCATTTGCTGTGGCAATAAGAAAAATAAAGTACCTAGGAATAAACCTAACCAAAGAGGTAAAAGACCTGTACTCAGAAAACTACAGAACTCTGAAGAAAGAAGTTAAGAAAGATACAAATAAATGGAAGCATATGTCATGTACAACTGGAATAATTAACATCATTAAAATGTCCATACTACCCAAAGCAATCTATAGATTCAATCCCTATCAAAATAACAATGACATATTTTACAGATATATAGAATAAGTATTTCAAAAATTTATATGGAACCATAAACAACCCTGAATAGCCTCAGCAATTTCGAGAAAGAAGAACAAAGTAGGAGGGATCATAATACCTGATATGGAACTGTATTACAAGGCCACTACAATCAAAATAGCCTGGTTACTGGCATAAGAACAGACACATAGACCAATGGAACAGAATAGAGACCCCAGAAATAGGAGTTGGGGGTGTAGCTCAGTGGTAGAGCACGTGCTTCCCATGTACGAGACCCCAGAAATAAACCCATTATCTCTATGGTCAATTAATATTTCACAAAGGGGGCAGGAATGTAAAATGGAGTAAAAACAACCTCTTCAATAAATGGTGTTGGGAGATCTGGACAAGTACATGCAAAAAATAAAGAAAGAAAGAAACTAGACCACCAACTTAAACCATATACAGAAATAAAATCAAGATGGATAAAAGGCTTAAATATAAGTCGTGACACCAGAAAAGTACCAGAGGAGAACACAGGTAGGAAAATTTCAGATATTCCATGAGGCAATGCTTTTACTGATACGTCCCCTAGAACAAGGGATATAAAGGAAGAATAAACAAATGGGACGACATCAAAATAAAAAACTTCTGCACAGTTAAAAATATATCAACAAAAAGAAAAGGGAACCAACCATATGGGAAAACATATCTGCCAATGATACCTTGGACAAGGAATTGAACTCCATATATATAAACAACTCATACAGCTCAACACCAGAAAGACAAACAATCCAATTAAAAAATGGGCAAAGTATCTGAACACACACTTCTCCAAGGAGGACATACAGAGGGACCATAAACACATAAAAGAATGCTCAACATCACCAGCCATCAGAGAGATGCAAATTAAAACCACAATGAGATACCACTTCACACTGGTCAGAATGGCCATCATTAACAAATCAACAAACAAGTGCTGGTGAAGTTATGGAGAAAAGGGAACCCTAGTTCCTGTCAGTAGGAATGCAGACTGGTGCAGCCACTGTGGAAAACAGTATGGAATTTCAAAAAAAGTAAAAATGGAATTGCCTACTGACTAAGCAATTCCACTGCTGGAAATATACCCTAAGAATCCTAAAACACTAATTCAAAAGAACCTATGCACCCCAATGTTCATAGCAGCATTATTTACAATAGCCAAGTTCCCATGTACGAGACCCCAGAAATAAACCCATTATCTCTATGGTCAATTAATATTTGACCTTAGGCTGCTGGACAGCCTAAGTGACCATCAGTAAATGAGTGGAGCAAAAATCCGTGGTACATTGTACACAACAGAATACCATGAAGCAGAAAGAAAGAACACCTATCCTTCATGCACAGCATAGGTGGAATTGGAGAGCATTATGCTAAGTGAAATAAGCCAGGAAGTGAAAGACAAATAGCATATGATCTCACCTGTAAGTGGAACCTAAAGACCAAAACATAACAAAAATGAACCAAGGGCAGAGAATTAAGGAACAAACTGACAGTGACCGAGGGGAGAGGGGGATAGTCGGGGAAAGAAGGGGAAGGGTCAAGACAAGGAACATGTATCAAGGACATGTTGGCACAGAGAATGGGATAGGGACTGACTGAGGCGAGCAGAGAAGTGGTGAGCAATGGGGGAAAATGTGAGACAAATGTAACTGAATAACAATAAAAAATCATGGCAGATTGGGATGAGTGGGGAGGGAGAGAAAGAGAGAAGGGGCCTATAGACTAAAAAGAGACTCAACAAACACAAAAACCAACACAATGTTTAGACGATTTGGATTTTGATTCAGATTATTTAAAAATCATGATATTTGTGATAATGGTAACTTGAACACTGACTGGCTATTTGATTATATTAAGGAACTATTCATTTTTAGTTGTCTAGTGGTATTGTGGGGAAGTTTTAAGAAGTTCTCATCTCTTATAGAGATCTTTGAAATGTTTGTGGATGAAATGACATGATGTCATTAAGATGCTTCACAGTAATCTGAAGGGGAGGGAAGTGGACGGGGTAGAGATATAACAAGATTGGCTTTGAAGTGATGTTAAAGGTTCCTAAAAATTACATGTGGTTTCACTACACTTTTCTCTCTATTTCTATACATGTTTGAAAATCCCCATAAAGTTTTTTTAAAAGTAATACCTAGTACAGTGCCTGATCTACTGTAAACACTTAATACATATTCACTGGCAGGTAAGCAGGTTTGTTAAGGGGGAATAGAACAACTGTAATGGCATAATCAATAAAAACAAATAAATAATTTTAAAAAATAAAATAAAAAAAGAAAGCTCTCAGACGACCATCAAATGGGAAACCATTTTTAAAACGAGACTGTAAACATAAATGTGTCTGAACACACAAATGAGATTCATTTAGGGACCAAACTATACTCCAATGGAAACAATAGTGAATGTGCTCAGACAAGGGAATATGTTCACTAAAGATGAACAGTTGTGAAACTCTGCGCAGGACTGGTACATATACTACAGGTACTTAATGTTGGTAAACACTGAAGGCATTTTTTAAAAATTTTACTTATTCATCTTTAGAGGGGAAGGGAAGGAGGGAGAGAAACATCAATGTATAGTTGCCTCCTGCGCATCCCCTGCTGGGACCTGACCTGCAACCCAGGCATGTGCCCTGACTGGGAATCAAACCGCGATCCTTTGATTCACAGGCCCACGCCCAATCCACTGAGCTACACCAGCCAGGGCTGAAGGCATTTTTAACCCTCCAAAAAAAATGTTATGCAGAAAACAACCCACCTTAGATTTTCCTCAACATTTATTATTCCAGTGCTGTCATAGAAAGCTATATTCATTTCTGAAAGGCCTGTGTGGGGATTTCGAAAATTTTAGTGCTCATGTGCAAGTGAATCACCATTTAGTAGAAATAAATGACTTCTCATGGTGAATAATGCATGTACTTGGCAGAAGGGCATTACTGAAAATGCAGTGTTGTCAGTTGTGAATCCTTTATCTACTGCATACATGACGGCAAACAAACTCAAAGCAACCCTACCCAAGAAGGTGCAGGTTAGTGTGTTTAGTGATGTGTTTAGTGAAGGTTACTGAAATGAGATGCTTATTTTATACTTAATAGTCCAGTATGTGGATGTACCATAATTAATTCAACCATCCTTTATATATAGCAAAAATTCAACCATTTTTGCTATATATAAACAAGAATGCATTTGCCCTTACACATTTAGCCTTACATTCTGGTGCTTTAATTTCTGAGAGAGCTATCACAATAAGTGGGTTTACTGGGCCAAAGAGTATAAATATTCTTAATTTTAACAGATATTAATTGCATGTAATTTTAAATTAGAGCTACAATGTGGAATTGTTTTAAAAATGCAATCACCTAACTACAAGTCAATTACCTCCACTTCAAATACTAAGTATATTTACGCTCTGCTTTAAGTTAAAAAGAAACTAAGTTTTTAGACAATCTCTCATTAACAGTGCCTTTGGTGTTGAAAATCCTGTGGTGTATTTTTGTTTCAGAGCATCTTGTAGCAATACTTCCAGCAGTATGGTATACCCTTATACTAGATGAATGATGCATTTTAAATTACCTCCTTGTTAAGGGTAAAAAAGGGGAGGGAATTAGAGGAACAAGTATGAAGGACACAAGGACAAGAACTAAGGGGGGTGGAAATGGGAGGGAGGTGGGGAGCACAGGGCAGGTTGGGCTGGGATGGGAGAAATAGACAGAAAACTGTACTTGAAAAATAAGTAAATAAAATTTTAAAAAATTAAAAAATAAATTACCTCCTTGTCACTGTCTGTGAATTCTGAGTACCATTTCTATCTGTCCTTCCTTGGTCTCTTTTTGCAAGGAGATACTAGTTCTCTGCACTCTTCAAAAGGTTCTTCATGGCTAAAGAAAACAGTATTAAATTAAAAAGACAACCAACTGTATGGGAAAATATATTTGCCAATGATACCTCAGACAAAGGTTTAATCTCCAAAGCATACAAAGAACTTACATGACTCCACTCTAGGAAGACATCGAACCCAATTAAAAAATGGGAAAAGGACTTGAACAGACACTTCTCTAAAGAGGACAGACAGAATATCCAGAGACACATGAAGAGATGCTCAATATCGTTAGCTATCAGAGAGATGCAAATTAAAACCACAATGAGATACCACTTTACACCAGTCAGGATGGCTATAATAGACAAAGCAACAAACAACAAATGTTGGAGAGGGTGTGGGGAAAAGGGGACCTTAGTTCACTGTTGGTGGGATTGCAGACTGGTACAATCATTATGGAAAACAGTATGGAATTTTCTCAGAAAAATAAAAATTGACCTGCCTTTTGACCCAGCAATTCCACTGCTAGGATTATACCCCAAGAATCCTAAAACATCAATTTCAAAGAACCTATGCACCACAATGTTCATAGCAGCACAATTTACAATAGCCAAGAGTTGGAAGCAACCGAGGTGCCCATCAGTAAATGAATGGATCCAAAAATTGTGGTACATATACACAATGGAATTCTATGCAGCAGAGAGAAAGAAGGAGCTACTACCTTTTGCAACAACATGGATGGAACTGGAAAGCATTATGCTGAGTGAAACAGGCCAGGCATTGAAGGACAAATACCATATGATCTCACCTTTGACAGGAAGCTAAAGAATAAAACAAACAAGCAAACAGAATAAAAACAAAGACACTGAAATAGAGAACAAGTGGGCAGCGACCAGAGGGGAGAGGGAAGGGAACTTAAGGGGAAAAAGGGGGAGGGATTTTGAGGAACAAATATGAAAGACACAGAGATGAGGACTGGGGGGGAGGGAATGGGAGGGAGGGGGGAGACCGGGTGGGGGGGTGGGGTGGGATGGGAGAAATAGATAAAAAAAATGTACTTGAAAAGTAACTAAATAAAATTTAATATTAAAAAAAAGGTTCTTTTTTGGATCACATTTTTATTTATTTTCAATGTATTCTATTGCATTTGGCGAATTTTTCTGAAATTAGCTAAAATTTCCTTTGTAAAGTTGTATAACACATAAACTAATTATCAATGTACCATGTAAAAAGATGTACTATTTTTTCTGTCTTATATACATAGACTGTTAATAAGGTTATTCAATTTTATTTCTCCTGAATTACCTTTTTTCTACCTAACCTGTTGGTTTTTAATTGTTTAAATTTTTTCAATGACAATTTACACTCAATATTATTCTATATTAGTTTCAGATGTACACCAAAGTGGTTAAAAAATCATGTACTTTACAGAGTGGTCCCCACACTGCTTCAGATACCCTCCTGGCCCCACATGCAGTTATCACGATATTCTTGACTATGTTCCCTATGCCCTAACCCACATCTCTGTGACTTTTCTGTAACTACCAAATTGTATCATTTAATGCCTTCACCTTTTTCACCCAGCCCCAAATGCCCATATGACAACTGTCAGTGGGTTCTCTGTGTCTGTAAGTTTCTATTTTGTTTGTTTTGTTCACTAGATTCCATATATAAGTGAAATCATGTGATATTTGTATTTCTCTGTCTTGATTTATTCCCCTTAGCACAATACCCTCTAGTCCCATTCATGCTGTCACAAAAGGTTTCATTCTTTAAAAAGTATTTTTATTGATATCTCTTCCTCTTACCCATTTTGTCCAATTTTAAAGATCCCTTTAGCTACTGTTCTTAAAATTCAAAAGTAACAAATGCTTGTTATAACCAGTGAAACAATGCAACATGGGAATGTATGAAGACAAAATTAATCAACCACACCCCGACTTCCTGATGTAATCAATAGCACCAGCCTGCTGAGGAGCCTTCCCCAACTCTCCGTGCTCATACAAACAGATCAAAAAATGTGTACATATATAAAATTTTGTTTGTTTTCACCAAAGTATAATACTATATTATTCTGCAACATATTTCATTTTAACTGCCTATATACATACATACATATATTTGTGTGATGGGAAAATGGACTATATTATACTTAACAAAATATAGTGAAGATGCTCTGCAGATTTAAGTTTCTTTCCAGTACTCAACTTCCTTTTTGTATTCCTTTAAAGAACATAACACCATTATAATTATTTATAATGAACTGTTTTACGTCTTTCTTCCTTGCTACAATGAGAGCTCTAGGAAGGCAGGGGGTCTAATTTTGCTCACCACTAACTCCAGAATTAGGGGTAATGCTGCCAAGATAGTAAATGCCTAAAATTTGTTGTTTCAGTGCTTCTTGAAAAGTTCCATCTAAACTGGGTCATTGCCCATTATCAAATATATGTGTAAATATACGTGTCTGTAGGAACTCAGGCCTGAGTAAGTCACCACTCAATTTTTTTTGATAGAATGTAGTGACAGTACGTTTTAAATGTAAGAATTTGTGTTTTAGCAAAACACCCAGCCTGCCACAAAAATGAATTTTAAAATGCAGATAACGTGTTTAGTGGAGAGTTCTGCACGTGTAATTAGGAGACCTGGGTTCTAATCTTACCACTGCCATTAATTTAGCTGTGGCCTTTACAGAAATCACCTTATCCTGATGCTGGCTCCTTATCTGTAGCTCTAGCACTCATTAATTCCACAAATATGTACTGCCTACTATGTGCTAGCCCTAGGCTAAGTGCTAGTGAATACAGGGATGAAAATAACCAACATTTAATGAATGCTTCCTTTATGCTTGGTCTTTTGCTGATGGAATCATATGCACTCTCATTTAATCTCCTATGAGATAGCACTACCGTGATATTTTCTGTACGTTACAAAGAAGGGGACTGAGGCATAGCGAGCGAGGTGAAGTAACTTTTCTAGCATACCAAAGGACGTAGTGAAGACAAGACTGGATTGCAGACACTCGGGCTTCAGACGCCATTCCACGAACCGCAAAGAATCCTTGCCCTCATAATTTGATAACTATATCTGCGGCTTACATTTTGGTCGCAGTCTACGGGTACTGGGTTGAGCAACCTCTTGTTAATTGGAGGGTGCAGTGACGACAGAATACGTTGTCTGCAACGAGATACGCTCTTACTGGTTACCGCAGCTTCGACGCGGGGACCGCAAAGTGGTAGGAGGTGTCAGCAGGTCACGCGCACCGGCTTCTCTGAGCGTCTCATTGGGTAGAGAGGAGCGTGTGGGTCACGCCAGCAGGACGCGCGTCTCTGACCTCGGCAGTGGGCGGGGAGAGGGGCGGGGAGAGGGGCGTGGTTCTTGCTCCCGGCTCCTCCGAAGTCTCCGCAGACCAGCGGCTTGGCCTGGCTTAGGGCTCGTTTGCCCCGCCCCGCTGCCCGCGCCGGCGTCCACTTCCTGGCCCTCCCCACTTTTAGCGAAACCAACGAGAGGACACCGCCCACATCTAGAGCAGCTCGACCGGGAGCGTAACTGAGGGGCGCGCGAACGTGAGAGAAAGCCGTGCGCAGTTGCGCTTTCCCACCCCTGAGTCGTTCTAGACGCGGGTGAGTGCCGGGGCAACGGTCTGCATCTGGAGCGGCCCCGGCAGGGCCCGACCCCGCCCGTGTTTGAGGGATGGCCTAGGCCTTGGCCCACTCCCAGCATGCTCTACACGGGGTACCCGGGCAGGTGCATCGGGAGGAGTAGTGGGGGGAGGGGGTGGATGGAGAAACTGAGAGCCGCCTTCCTGGAGGCCCTCCTTGGCCCTTCAGTGGGGTCTCGTAGTGTCCGTGACCAACCTGTCACTTATGCTGTCCATTTCGTCTTCCTTCCTGTTCCATACTCCACCCCAACTATCTTCACCTAAAACACATCTCAAAAACCACTTGAATAGTTTTTGTTTCATTTGTGCCCATATGCAGTTTTAAGTTTCCCTTTCTTCTGCACCAAATATCTTATCATGTGCATCTCCAGTGTTACTTTTTTTTTACCTCCCCTAGTGGAAAAAAGATCTATTCCCTAGAAAAATTGGTACAAGTAATACATGAGTAGTATCCCAATCAGAAAGGTTCTTTCATATGCCCTTATCAAGTTAGGAGACATGTGTGAATTATATATTGGCCAGAAATAATGAAGATTGCATAATATGAAATGTCAAAATCCTATCAGGTAATTTTAGATTGCATCTGACAATTTTGATATTAAGCGGAACTTGTTTCCTGTCAATTCTCTGCCTTCGTAGACCCGTGTTTATTGACCAAGTTCTGTTAGTGACACAAGAAAACCATCCTGCCTCTTTCCTCACCCTTCCCACACCCACTGAGGAATTACATTTGCCAAGCTATTCCACATCTGTCCTAGCAGAAGTCAAAGTCCATTTCCTCTACAAGAAAATCAAGGGGTGGTTTCCTTGTAACAGTATGGTGATGTGTGCAAAATGTCAGTTGTGGTTAACAAGTCCCACATTTTTTTTTCATTTATAGGAAAATAGGGTTATTCTGTAACTTGTTTAAGTTCTTGATAATATGGATAGAAGTACTGTTGAGATCATTATTCTGTAATAGAAAAAGCATTAAATCCATGTCACGAGATCTAATTTCTAGTTCAGTTCTAACACTTGTGTGACTCTGGGTCAGTTACTTGAACTCTCTGGACCCTCTGTTTCCCTATCTGTAAAATGAGAGAAATGGCATTGGGTAGCTTCTAAGACCCTTTTCAACTTTACAAGTCAAAGAGAAAATCTCAGTAGCTAAGTAGACCTTTTCCTGTAGAGATAGAGGGAAGACTGGGAAAATCTCAACAGTTGTATTTAATGTTGGCTTTTCTTTTAGTTTTTTAATTGAAATACAAGTGTAGACTTTCCCCCTTTTATTTCCCCAAAGAATAAGAAAATACCTTGAAATAAAAATGTTCATTAATGGTCCCTAGATACGCCTATATTGACTCAGTTCTTATGCAAATAATTTAACTTTTCATTATGGACTTTTATTACATCCATTAGTTGGAATATTTATTGGAAACCATTTAGTCTTAGGAACAAAAGGGTAAATATTAGTGTATATGGTGTCAATCTCAAGAAACTTGCTTTGGATGTACTCAAAACACCTAAGGACAGCAGCCATCATTTAAATAAGGCACTGGGTTGACAAAAATGTCAGCACAGATGCCATTGATGATTTGCCAGTTTTATCTGTTCAATTTAAGGTTTTGATATGAAAGTCTATTTCTAGCTGGGTGGTATATAAATAGTATAACACAAGCTTGTAAAACAATTCATTTAAAGGGAATTATGGACAGATAACCTATGTAATATCAGTTTCTCAGGCTAATGCTTTGATGTAGTACTCACTTAGTTAAATCCCTATAGATAAAGTACAAAAATCGCCTCCCAGAAAAAATTCTGCATACAGGTGTTGCTACAAAGTTCCAGTTTATACTGAACAGTATAAATTGGAAGCTAATGAGTCTTCGAATTCTTGGTACTATATGCAAGTAACTTGATTTCAAACTTGGGAACCTTTTTTAATGTTAACAGCAAAATGTAACTGTATAAGGAATACCAAATCAAATCACTACCCTAGTATTATTTCTAATAAGTATCCTAAGGATTTCTTTCTTCTTTATAGGAAAAAATGCTTTCTGAAAGCAGTTCATTTTTGAAAGGTGTGTTGCTGGGAAGCATTTTCTGTGCCTTGATCACTATGCTAGGGCACGTTAGGATTGGTTATGGAAATAGAATGTACCACCATGAGCATCATCACCTACAAGCTCCTAACAAAGAAGATATCTTGAAAATTTCAGAGAATGAACGCATGGAGCTCAGTAAGAGCTTTCAGGTATACTGTATCATCCTTGTAAAACCCAAAGATGTGAGTCTTTGGGCTGCAGTGAAGGAGACTTGGACCAAACATTGTGACAAAGCGGAGTTCTTCAGTTCTGAAAATGTTAAAGTGTTTGAGTCAGTTAACATGGAAACAAATGACATGTGGTTAATGATGAGAAAAGCTTACAAATACGCCTTTGACAAATACAGAGACCAGTACAACTGGTTCTTCCTTGCACGCCCCTCAACGTTTGCTATTATTGAAAACTTAAAGTATTTTTTGTTAAAAAAGGATCCATCACAACCTTTCTATCTAGGCCACGCTGTAAAATCTGGAGACCTTGAATATGTGAATATGGAAGGAGGAATTGTCTTAAGTATAGAATCAATGAAAAGACTTAACAGCCTTCTCAGTGTCCCTGAAAAGTGTCCTGAACAGGGAGGGATGATTTGGAAGATATCTGAAGATAAGCAGCTAGCAGTCTGCCTGAAATATGCTGGAGTGTTTGCAGAAAATGCAGAAGATTCTGAAGGAAAAGATGTATTTAATACCAAATCTGTTGGGCTTTTTATTAAAGAGGCAATGACTAATCAACCCAATTTGGTAGTACAAGGATGTTGCTCAGATATGGCTGTTACTTTTAATGGACTGACTCCTAATCAAATGCATGTGATGATGTATGGGGTATACCGTCTTAGGGCATTTGGACACATTTTCAATGATGCATTGGTTTTCTTACCTCCAAATGGTTCTGACAATGACTGAGAAGTGAAACAAGAGCATGTATGTGATCACCTTATAGGACATGCGTTGTCATTATTTGTAGTAACAACTACATATCTAACACAGCAGTTTGTTTCTCCTTTTCCATTTGGTGACACTGGTTTAATCACACACTAAAATTTAGTAGTAAACTTTTAAATATGGTGGGTTTTTTCCTTAAAACATAAGTGAAAATTTCAAACATGCTGGAAGAAATGTTTTAAGAATAATACTTTTGCAAATAAAGCATATATTTACAAATATATTTATGTGATAAATTCTAAATTATGAACATTAAAATCTGTGGCACATATTTTTGCTGATTGGTTAAAAAAGTTAACATTTTTTTTGGCTAAGATAGGCAAACAAATCTGTAGTCGTGAACTTTTAATTAAAGTAAAACTTTCAGCTGTGTTTCCATTACTTCTAATGTTGGTTTATTTTCTAAGCTTCTGCAAGTGCCAGTGAATTTGCTTTCTCAAACTACACAAGCAAGCAACAAAGGAAATTATCTCAACCAATGTAAAAATGGAAGGTGAAATCTATCTTTGAGAGAAAAAATCACAATTACATATAGAGTTTAATAATTTTCCTGGGAGCTAATAATAGTGGCATTTCTCAGCATACACAATTTCAGTGTAACTCCTGTACTTCTCTAGGTAGATATTGAAATTGAAGTGAATGACTGAAGAATGTAATGTCATTTAACTGTGTGGTTTCCCAGTTCCTCAAGCTCTCAGCTGTGGCTCAGATAAAACTGTATCAGTTGATAATTATATATTCCTGCTTGGCAAACGAGTTCTATGGAACTCTCCTTTAAAAAACTTGATCATGTCTCAGCCTTTTGGCTAAGATTGAGTGTAGGTATCTGTTCTTACCAGTTTAACATCTGATATGTCCTCTCTCTGAGAATGATTTATTACATGGATTTTTGGAGCAGGGACATAGAACAGGAACTTGCCCCATCCATGCCTTCATTGACCTGGTATAGTGGTATCTCTGGGAATGGTGCACCACCTCAAGGACAACAACAAAAAAATAGCTTTTGGCCATTAGGCAGTTGCATTTATCTGAGTTAGTTGAGTCCTTCCTGTTTTTGTTTACCTGTTAAAATTTTGAAATTTTACCCATGTTTGTGGTTGCACCATATCCAACTGTTTTTGATGTGGAAAGCATAACCTCACTATTCACCTTGGATTACCATATCATTTGCCTAATTTCAGTGGCTAATGAGAAGCTTTATCCGGTGGTGAATACAATAGCTCCTGTGCTTGTAAATGTGTGAAATACTTGGAGCTGACTTGTTCTATAACTGGGCCTTTACCTGCTGTATTAAGTTAGGTCCATAAGCACCTACAGGGTGTGAGACCATGACATTTTAGAGCACAGCATTTCCTGTAACTGGGCTCATGATAGTGGTCTCCCACAGCTTTTGCAAACCAGAAAGAGAATTTCCTCAAGAGGACCTTAGATGTCAAATTGTTGATCAGAATAGCATGTAAAAAACATGTGTTTTCATTTATCTAATTTTTCTTATTGGGGCTCTTGGGTTAAAATGAAGCATATTAATTTTGAAAAACAATAAAACCTCTGTCAGGCACCCTAATATGTGGTCTCAGATGCATATTATCACAGATCAAATCATGTTCAGTGTGAGTCCAATGATAAATAGTATATCATTGACTGTAACACCCAGTCAGTGCTCCCAACACCACTATATTACATTTCTACTATATATATCACCTTCAGTTATATAAGTGTATCAAGGTATAGCTGTAACAAATATATCAGTGAATGCATTCCATTGTTTGATTTCCTAATGGGTGCTAAGGTAACAATTGCTTTTTAAACCAAATTGATGTTTTTGATTATATTTTTATACATAAGTATTTCTTTATAAAATGTTAGTTGTCTTAAATAACATGCTGTCTCTTTGAATTTATTTATACCCAGTCTTGTAGATAAAATATGATTCTGTAACATAGAAAATAGCATTACTGAAGGTATCATTACAGATTTGCTCACCATGCATCCAACAGCCAAAAACTGTAAATCTAACACCACTCTGTTACTTGTGGGGAGAATCAGAAGAATGAAGGTCTGATGGAAATTGATCATGATAGTGAATGTAATTTACATACATCTAGGGGCTACCATGCTAGACAGCACAGCTGTAACACATTACAGAAGTGTGAGACCCACTGGCTGAAATATGAATGATAATAATCTTGAAGTTTCTTCTAAAAATTGTATTTGTCTTTTCAGTTGTCTTGAGCACAGTGGAAACTGCAACCTGACTTTTAGCAGGCCCCAGGCCATCTCCTTACACAAGTTCAATAACTAAATCTTCCTTCTCAAAAATAAAACATTGGATTTGGAGCAGTGTGCACATTAGACCCCTTGACTTTTTTCATGTAGCTAAAAGAATGCTTATGTGTCAAATCTGACTTATACTGCCCAGATTTTTCTGTAGTGCATTTATTTTTTTAGTAAAATAAAATATTCAATATATTTTTTAATTTTATTTATTTTTGGAGATGAGGGAGAAAGACAGGGAGAGAAACATCTACATGTGGGAGACACATTGATTGGTTGCTTCTCACACGCCCCCAACTGGGGACCAACCCACGCATGTGCCCATACCAAGAACTGAACCTGCAACCTTTATGGCTCACAGGCTGGCACTCAATCCCCAGAGCCACACTGGCTAGGGCTCATTACTTCTATTTTTAGAGTGTTTAAATTGGAGAATAGGCACCAGATGGTCAAAGTTAAGGTACTCTGACAGGTCATTTGAGAATGTGAGAGTCACCTGGCCTGGAATTGTCACAGGCTGTTTGAGTTAGAGCAGTAGTTCAAACAGATTTCTGTGCCCCACCCCCAGTTTCTGATTGAGGTCTTCAGTGTCCCATTTCTAACAATTTCACGGGTGATGCTTATGCTTCTGGTCCAGAGACCACACTTCCAGAACTACTGGAGTGCAGATTAGGCAGGGATAAAATTCCTTAAGAGAAATGTACTACATTTTAAGAGATTGTGAAGAATGGAAGCAAGGTAAACCCTTACCATGACTGTTGTGTATGGAATGTACAGCTGACGCAAATCCATGGCTTTTGTGTAAATCACCAAGGATACTTTGCGTTAAGTTCAAAGTACAATACAAACAGGGACTGCTGGGTATGTGTACAGGGGAAGCTTTAGTGAATATCACCTATTTACTGAGGCACGTTTGGACATGTGGCTTTAAACCTCTGATGAACAGAAGTGAATCTATTTATGATTATATAATTTTCTTTGAAATTTATGACAGGCAGGCTTACAACAAAGTTAAAAATTCTTAATCCAAGTCATCATCAAAAGCAAGATTCATATTCACTAATTACATTTTTCTCACTTTCTTCAACAAACCTGGTGTCCTATAATGAGCTACTAAGCTGAGACACATTTCATCCCAACATTGATTGGTTGCCAAGGAGACTCCACTGCTACCCTGCACAAGCTCATGTTTCCCCTCCTCCTTTGTGCTAAAAGAAGGGGAAATTGTGGGTCAAGGGCAAGATGCTAGGGAAATAGAGCCTATAGATCCAGCCTAATAATAGAGATGTGAAACGAACAATATGTTCTCTCTCTATTCCAGCCATCAGCAGCAAAAGTACTTGAGTTCAAATGATAAAATGTGGTTTTACACTTGTTTTTGGATGCTGGAAGGAATACCAGCATCCAAAAAACAGTCAGAATATCCCTCCTTGCAAAAATCCAAGGGAAAAAGACTGAGGGAAATTGGCATCTACCTGACAGGTCCAAATTTCTATCCCTGGCATCATTGGAGTCAGATTTCCCTAAAAAGAGAAATGGCTATTCTGAACAGAATTGTTCCTTATAGTGACCCAATCAGCGATAAGGGTAGTTCCTTCACAGAGTTACAAACTTTTGGACTCCTAGAAACTATTTGTTATTTCTCTTCCAGTACTGTGCCATTGAATCTTGCATAAAATCCTGGAACTCTGGTTCTTGGTGGCTTTCTGCTCTGCAGTCAGTATCATCAGTGTCACTGTCTGCTTCCCCATCCTCTTCATCCAATGTTCTCTGAGTCAGGTTCTGAGTCTGTGAAAGGAAGGATCCTGCACAGCAGATAAGCTGTCTGTAGCAGTTCCTATGTCCAAGGCTACAGAGCCCCTATCTTCCCAAAGGTGTTCCAGTTTTTCTTTCTGCTGCTGGCTCAGTGCAGTAGCCAGTGATTTCTTCAGATGTTCATATTCAGGATGATACTCCCTTTCATATTCTTCTGCAGCACTGGTGACTTGCACAGAGTCCATCTAAGCCTGTACTCAGAACAGCAGACACACCTACCAATGTGAGTGAGCTGTGAAATTCATATAACACCAAGCTCATTGAACAAGTCAGGTCACTGACATATTTAGTCTCCTGATTCAAGGCATTTTGGAAAGACTCAAAATCTTGCATCCATTCCATTACAAAGCTGTAGTCAACAATGTCAGTTTTATTCATGATCACAGTGGAAAGAAGCTTGGTTTTCATACAAGATGGTGCAGGCATAGAGCATACTGGACACGAGAGTCACTGAGTTGGTACTTCTTTGTGTGTCCTTTACATATATGACAGTTGTTGGAATTGAGGATGCTAGGGCTTTGGTGATGATTCCCCCAGAAGCTGACCAGGCGAATACTTCAATCTGCCTAGGTGTGTCAATCAAAACATATTTAGACATGTTCTGGGCCTTCTCAATAAATGTCATCACCTGATCAAATCTGGTAGCAAAGAGATTGAGTGAGGTCACTATGCCACTGCTGGGCCCAAGTCCATATTGTTTCATGAGTTCTTTACTCTGTGCAACGTCACCCATATCAGTACTGGCAGGGAAGGGAACCTCTTGCACAGCTGTGTCCAGATTGGCCACATTTGGCGCAGAGCCTTGGCTATGCAGATGTCGTATGAACCTCTCCAATAAAACTGTGTTCCGTGAAAGCAGGAACCTTGACAGCCTCGTTTTTCATCCCCAGTGCCTGTGTTTGAGTCAAAATGATGACAACTACCAAGCAGCAAGATTTCAAGTGCTCCTGTAATGCATTTAAACAAACCCATCTATTGGACTTTTTCTTAAAACGGGGCACACCTGTATTCGAAACATTCCTGAAAGCAGTCTGGTGATGATGTACCACTAATTTGCCCTTCATTTGTTAAGAATATGGTATTCCTTTTAGGGCCAGCTAGATTGGATTAATGATTCACTGTTTTAGTGGTTACATGAAGAGCACGTTTGTAAAAGTTTAGCTTTCTTTTGGCATACAAAGGAATTCAGAAATGTTTGCCAACCTCCCTGCAAAGGAGTCCTGCAAATCTAATTTAAAAGAATCACCAATTCCCATATCATCAAATATAAAGACATCAAATACTGTAATGTCTTTAAAGGGTAATGGGAACAATGACTCATTGGGAAAGTATGAAATGAAATGATGATGCACATGTGGGGTCTCTATCATAATGAGAGAAATCCACCCTTATTAGTATGGAGTCTATACCTTATAATATAACCCCATATATACTGAGTATGAACTCGACACCAGACCTGGTATTTTGTGTAAAGCAAAAAGAGCCTAAACTCATGATTCATAGAGAGTCAGATATTATCACTTTGTGTGAGCTTTGCTTGAGCAGTAAAACAAGCCATGGTTTATTAGAATGTGGTGGTCCTTTTGCCTTAAAAATCCTATATTTGATAAATACGATGTATTTCTTTTATCCCACATAATTTCCATTTCTTTGGTAGTTTTCATTAATACCACACTGGTTATATCACTGCTGGCAGGAGGAACAGGGACTAAAAATAAGACTGATTTTTGATGGATGGATGGGAGAAAAGGAGGAAGGATGCCCTTAATATATGACAAGCTTGCGTTAAAAAAAATTAAATACTTTTTGATCTAGTGATGCAACATCCACATGGGTACTCAACATATCGAATGGGGACATTCCAATTTTCAAAACCCCAACCCCATAC